CCTTAACCAAAATCAAAGTAGACTATCACTCACCCACACCAGATGGAAAACTCTACAGACTGTCGGTTCACACCCTATCACAAGCCAGCAAAACATCCACGAAACAAAGAAAGGTCTGTCACAGCCAAAAAATACACTCCAGACACACCGCTGGCACTAGAGGCACAACATATATATATATATATATTCGTCACCTCTGACGTACGAGGCCAGACACGTGGAGGACAGGCAGAGCGCTGGGTACCCCCATCTCCGGGTGTCACAAGGAGCCACTTGCAGGCAGCGAAAAGGCAAACAGGTAATGAAAGGAGCAGGAAACGAAACCTCACGATGAGAAAGAAAGCCTATAACTAAAACAAAGGGAATGACACATCGCACAGACAATCCGATTGACAGAAACCATACTACCGATCCCACCGTTCTACATATTGTTTGTACAAGATGCCGTTGCTTCATTTTTTTTTTTTTTCTTCCTGTTTCATTTATTTATTTATTGTTTTCCCCATCTTCTTGTTCATTCGTGTATCGTCACGCTGTGTGTCTGAACCGAAACGCGAACACGAAGCAAGACAAGCAAAACGGCAGGCACATGGATGAGAAGAGTCTTTCGCAAGGGGTGAAGTGCAACTACTGAAACGAAACCCTAAATAAAATAAGAAAGTTTCACCAAAAAAAAAAAAAAAAAATCAGAAATAAAAAGAAATGAAAACCAAACCAAGAAACACACAAACACACAAAAACATTTCGCCGACATATCCATTATGATCACGAAGTCACACCACCATTCATTGAAGCAGAAAAAGAATACACGTGGCAGCAATGGTTGCGGTCCGTCGATGACGTCATGCCCACTACAGTGTGGACACCTTATTCGCCAACCCTGCACGCTATGAAGGCATAACGTACCGATGAAAGAACCGAAAAATGAAAGAGAGAACATCAATTTTTTTTTTTAACAATATAACCCCAAAGGGACAGAAGTGAAGGCGACTAAAAAAATCCGTCTCCGCCGCCGCCACCGACTCATCCATCATCGCCACTGTACCCACCAACCTCCCTTGCGTCATCGCCACCGCCCCCCCCTTCGTCATCGCTCGTCGGAGGCGACATAAGGTATCCGTTTGGGGGGGGAGTGTTTACCCGTAGGTTTGGATTTCCATACGTCTCGGCTATGGCCGCCCACCCCCACAGACCGCGCGAAGGATCGCCCCCCCAACCCCCATTTCGCTGGGACAGTTCTCGCGGAAGGTGGCCCCATCCGCCTTCTCCTTGCTATTCCGTGTCCGCCGTCGATTGTCCCTCCTCGGCACCTGCTCCCCCCTCGCCAATCGCCGGTGACGAAGACAATGACGAAGGTTCTTGGGGGTGAGGCGAAGCGGTGGCCTGCGGGGTGCCAGATGGCCCCCCTTCGCCAGCTGCCACAGTCGGAGACGGCACACTGCTTTCGTCCGACATCTCTCTCTCTCTCTCTCTCTCTCTCTCTCTCTCTCTCTCTC